CGTCTCATGGGTACCTTCAGTATACGGGAGAGCGGCAAAAGGCGTACAGACTTCTTGAAGCACGACGGAAGCGCAGGTCGCTCGAGTTTTGGGCCATCTTCTGGGACAAGGAACTCATGGCTAAACTGAGTCCGATAATGCAGCAGTACGTGCGGCACAATGGCGTCTGGTATACCCAGCTCTTGCCGGATAATGCCTTTGAACAAACAGATGATGTCGACAGTGTTGATAGTACTGTCCAAACAACACAGCAAGTCGTAAATGTAGAACCACAACAACAACAACAACAACAACAACAACCTGTAGAGCAAACCCCAGACCCCCCTTTTTACCTCGAACCCGTCGATTACACAGCCGACCTTGCCCAAATCAACGTCGAAGCCACTCTCCTCCGAATCCAAGAAATGCAAGTAGAACGCCAGATTCTCCTAGAAGAAGCTCACTACCTCCTCTCCCTCAACGCCCACCAACGCTACGAATACTGTCACTTGCACACCACCCTAGATGCAGACGACCGCCTACGACGCCTCCAGGAAATTCATCTCGTAGATGTAGCTCACACGCGCCTGCGCAACGCGGCTGATGCGCTGGATATGAAAATCATACACTGGCGTATGTCGCTCCAGCACAAAGCCGCTTGGGAGAAAAATACCTCTCCCTCCTCTTCATCTCCATCTTCGTCTTCTTCTTCTTCGTCTTCATATTCATCCGAGGCTGAAGCAGATGACTGGCTCCCCCCAAACTCCCACCTAATCAACTACGCCACGCACAGACCCAGTTTCTCAGTCTTGGAAATCGAAAAAATGGCACGCCAGATTGATGCGCAGGTGCAGCGGTTTGAACAAGGGAGCGTAGATCACAGGTTTCCCCGGGAGAAGCGCGAGAGGTGGCGCAAGGATGCAGAGGATGGAAGGGTCTTGTTGCGGGCGGCGGATCATATCTTGTTTCGCATGGAGAAGGCGAGCAGGAGGGGTCTTGATGATAATGGTGAGGGGGGTTTGTTGCAGAGTGGACGGGGGGATGTCATGGCGGCACAGGATGATGCTACTTCAGTCGAGGAACTTCATCCTGCGAATGATCCTCCCTCTTCGACCGACGATGGCTCAGCTGTAGACGAAATGCGCCTGAGAAAAGACGTGGAACAGTCTCGAGCGGATGCCCAAAAAGCAGCAAAGCCGCGACGAGATGGTCTGGAGCACAACAACCCATAAGCTCAATCTGCAAAGGACCCAAATTGGCTCTGGTTATATTTTCTACCGTCTGTCAAAACATACACATCTACTTCTCCTGGATACCATAATCACGGATGGAACCTAATGGGACTGCTATCAATTGCAATTATAATTGTAACCTTTTTCATTATCAAGCTATACTAAGCTACTTAAGACGCCATCATTCCCAATCTTAAAGGAACACGAAAACCATAGACCCCCCATAGCCTGCCATGAGGTCGAAGAGGGGATATCGTCATGATGCTAATGTTACAAGGCTTTATTGCCTACTCCGTTCCGTTCTTCTTCCATCCGTACGTAGATCGTAAGGTCGTGAAATAGTACGTAAGGCAGTCGTATCATGATAGTGATACGCCTGAACGCTGCTTGTCGGTTGCGTTGCTAGTAGTGAGTTTCTTACAACTCGTTCTTGGCAGAAGAAGCGCTGGCGGCGGCCTCGTAGGATGCGCTCTTCGCGGACTTGGAGGCAGCAGAGGAAGCGCTAGCAGCGGACTTGGAGAGCGAGGAAGAGGATGAAGAGGCGGCCTTGGCGGCAGCACCGCTGAGGGAGCTGGCGCTGGCTCCAGCAGCATTGGTAGCGGAAGCAGCACTGGCGGCAGCGGCGTCGGTAGCAGAGGCAGCGCTAGCTGCGGCAAGACCAAATTGCTGCTTAACCAAGTTGGTGTAGTAGGCAAAGCCGTCAGTGGCAGAGGCGTACTCGTTGTTGGCCTTGGAGGTAGCAGCGCCGTAAGCAGAAGCACCAGAGGCAGAAAGAGACTCAGCAGTGGCAGAAGCACTATCGCCGTAGAGACGGGCACGGTGCTTGCGAGCGAGAGCAAGGAGCTCATTGCGCTTGGAGCCCTGGGGAACCTTGATACCGTTCTTGTCGGCCCACTCCTTGATCTGGCTGTCAGACCAGGAGTCGAGCAGAGCGTCACTGAGGCTCTGCTGAGCCGCGGCAGCAGCAGAAGTGACAGAGGCGTATGCATCCTGGGACTGCAGGCTAGCAAGGCGAGACTGACGGCGAAGGGCAGCAATCATGGAGTCGCGGGTGTTGGGCTGGGGAACAGAGTAGCCACGCTCGTCAAACCAGGCCTTGAGATCAGAGTCAGACCATGAAGCGTAGAGCCAGTCACCAGGGTAGTTTGCGGTCTCCTTGGCCTTCTCGGCGGCGGACTGGTAGTTGTCACGGACGGCAGCGAGAAGGGAGTCACGCTGGCGGGGCTGGGGGACGGGGATGCCATGCTTGTCGGCGAAAGCCTTGAGCTGAGAATCGGACCAGCTGTGAAGTGTTAGCAATGATAATGAGTGAACAGTAAAGATTACATACGTGTCAAAGATCCAGTCCTTAACATTGCCGTAGGCCTGGTTTGCAGAGTCCTCAGTCTCAGTCCAGTATAGCTTGACCTGCTCGACGAGGCTCTTTGCGTCCTTCTCGGTGCCCTTCTTGGCCTGCTGGCCCTTGAGGCTCAGGTACTTCTGGAGCGTAGGAGCGTCCCAGCTGGTGTAGGGAGAAACAGTCTTGTCGTTCCAGTTGGCCTTGACGGTCGATTGGAGGCTCTTGCGGTCAGAAGGGCTGGGGTGGGGAATGCCGTGGTCACTGAGCCAGCGCTCAAGCTCCGTCTCATGCCATTTGTCGTAGACTGCTCACTCACGTCAGTGTACTGCTAGAGAGGGTGTTTGTAGAAAAAGAGAAAAGCAAATGGGCTCTGTACTGTACGCACCAGTGCTTCCAAACCAGCTGTTGGCTGATGCCGACGCAGCAAGCGTCACGACGAGAGTGGATGCAAAAGAGAACCTCATCTTGTCGGGAGGGAGATGTGATGGCTATGCTAGTATCGTGTGATGGAGCAGAGACGAGGGAGGTCGGATATCAAGCAAAGGGCAAGTAAATAGTGTAAGAGGGGATGGTGAAAGGGCAGTTTATGAGGGGAGGCACAGACAATGGGCGGCCACAAGGCGTGCGTGCGAGTGACGTAGGACTTCACGTTGGGAGCTCGGACAAACAAGATCTCCAATGCGCCTGCCTCCGCTCTGTTGCATGTGCGGCCAATGAGAAGGCGCGACCAGCAGCCGCCTGGTATGTGTACGCAATTGTGAGAGCGCAATTGTGACGCCGTCTGGGCCCTGCGAGCATGTGCAAGCTGCCATCCACACGCCTCCGAGGCATCCTGCGTGTTTTTTTATCCTTGCGCTTCTTACTGCTCAGGGCTGCAATTCTGACGTCTCTCACCCTAGCCTGGGGCTGGAACGGAGGTTGTGGGTCGCCATGGCATTTGGAAATTTCCCATCGCGATGGTTGCGGGGCTGATGTCGTGAGCGCGTTCAGCCCTTGACGTCATCACCCAAACATGCACAAAACTTATGAAGCACAATGATGCTGGCAAACCTCAAAAGACAAAGGTTGAGCGTCCACGCTTGGGGAAAAAAATGCGCAATTGCACCATTTAATTGTGTGTCACGTAGAATTGTTGACCATTCGACTCGTAGCTAATCATACATCTCACCCATCACTCAGCTTGTGTTTACCCCCGGACGCCCTCAGAATCGCCGCGTCCACCTTCACCTGTATAGTTGTTAGCAATGAGTTCAATACAATGAGAAATGGGGAACGTGCCTTTCCAGAAGCTAACAGGCACCTTGTCCTTTTCAGCCTCCTCGTTGCTGACCCGCTCATGCGCCTGCTCCGCCCGGTTACTCATGTCCTCGTTGTGCTTCCTGACCTCCTCGCTCTCATTTCCAGCCGCAGGAGGGTTTTCGTTTAGTATCTTGGGTTTCGCACCTTTGACTTCGCTGGCGTCGGGCTCGTTTTGCTGACCCTGCTTAACGGCTGGCTCCTTGCTGTCCTGCATCCGGCGTGACCATGTCGAGAACTGGCGCTGGCCTGAAGATCCCTTGTTCGAGGATGGAGCTGGAGACTGTGAGGTAGGCTGGGGAGAGTCGTTTTGGCCCGCGTTGCTGTCCTTGTTTGGCGACGACGAAGACTTGCCTTTGGCAACACTTGGAGGCTCGGGGCCAGGATGCTCAAGGTTCTCGCTGGGATTCTCGCCCTGCTTCTGAGGTGCTTCTCCAACTGGGTTTCCTTGGCCAGAGCCGTAGTCTTGAGTTGCAAAGCGGACCTGTACGCGAGCTCGAGGAGCCGCCGAGAGCGTTGCAGGACGCAGTGCCGCTGAGCGCAGCATTGACATGGGGCGGAAGTAACTCATGATTTTGGTGTTTGTGAAACTGAAATTGACAATGAATTTGTGTGTATGTGGTGGGAAAGGTGACTGTGAGGTTCGTAGAGGTCTGGAATGATACTCGTCCTAGCTCTCCTTTTGACGTCATGGTTTTCTAAGATCCGCATTCCTGCGTACATGCAGCACGTCACATCAATGCACCTTCGCAAAGATGCATTGGTAATTGCTTTTGGTCTGTAGGATTCAGCCAAACATAATCGAGAGACGTACTGTTCTTGTGCACTCACCTTACTGGGTTATGCACCCTTCTCTATAACTTCCCACCACGGAACATACACATCGCCAAGTACGGACCAATGGCAGAAAACGAGCCTCCGGAAGAATAATTTCATATTCCAACAGTTGTCAATATCCTCCTACCATTCAAATACATGATTACTAATTTATCTCATACCATTTATACTTAACTCCATCCATACAAACCCCTTGTACACCATCTTACACCAAGCATCTCTAATCTACCCACCCATCCTCCTTCCTACTAGAATCAACCCTCCAAACAAACCCAAAACCCAGCACCACTAAACCACAACCCCCAATTAACTCCCCCCTATCCCTCCCTCTTAACCCCCCACGCCCCCCCACCCTCCCACTCCCTCCCAAAAACCCCCCTAATCCACTTCTCCCTGCGCCTCCAAACCTGCCACCCCTCCCTCTCCCACCGCTCCGTCGGCGTCTCGGACCACGTCCTCATCTCCTCGGCCTGGCGCTCCCATCCCTCCACTTCCTCATCCGTTACATCCCGCCCTTTACGATATATATCCTTGAGGATGTTGTAGTAGGCGGCGAAGTCGGATTGTATGACGGAGAAGTTGGAGGAAGGCGTGTCGGAGGGGATGAAACCTAAGGTGGAGTGGGGGCGGAGGAGGGGGCAGGTGGGTCCGCAGGTGCCGGGGGTAGGGGTGGTGGTGGTATTGGTGAAAGTGGAGGAAGGGGAGGGGGAAAGGGAACAGGTCAAGCAGTAAAAACTAGAGTTTTGAACGAGATTTTCCAGGTGGAGGCGCGCGTTTAGGGAGGATTTGACAACGAGGAGGTTGTGGAAGAGGGTTTGGATTCGGTAGTACATTGCTCTGTCTGCGACTGGGTCTCGTGGCATTTTTCCGGGACTGTAGTGACCAAGATTGGTCGTGTTTGGACTTTGTTTTTTTTATAGAGAGAGAGGAAAAGGTGGGGAGTTGGAGTTGAGGAGATGGTAATAAAAGTAGTAATTACATGTGTATTGTGAAGATGCAGTGAGAAGAGACAGCGTGGTGAAAACAATGGTGTGATTTTTTTGTATACAGTGACTATGAAATGAGTGAGTGAAGGATATGGAAAACAAACACTATGCTAAGGATGAGGGGGGTCGTATGTTAGAAATAGATCTAAGAAGAATAGGGTTGGAAAGCAAGGTAAGACAAACGCCCATACAATCATAACTCCATCCCAATCATCAGTTCACCTTGATCGACATCTCAGACCCCTTGTCTTCTCCTGCCGACTGCTCTATTCCTTACCTTTCCACTCGCATACGTCGTTAGACTATTCGTCCATGTGCTCTACAAACCGTGAAGGGCGAATAACAGTCACCGGCATATTATCGGGCATCCTCGAAACTACCGCATAAGTCTCGATGAGCTCCACCCTACGAAGAACCGATGATTGGGCACCTTCTGAGACCTGGCTACGTGTATAGTCCCTAGTGGTTGCTAGGCCATTAAAGTCAGAGGACAGCTGGTTAGAAATCTGTTCAAAGCTAAGACGGCGTGCAGATGGCATATCTTCATCCCGACCGTCTACCAAAGCGCAATCTGAGTTTACAGTGGAAAAAGACGTCTTAGAAGCATGACTATCGTGCCTCTTCTTCATGCTAGGCCTTTTGATCGCGCCGCGACGGACTAAACCACCTGGGTTGCCTCGGAGCACGCTCTCAATAGTGGGAAATTCCGGCTTGGCCAAGTTGCCTTTAATTTGAATGTCTTCCAGGCATGTGTCTGAATCCACTGGAGATTCCGCATTCACATAAAATTCCGACGCAGGAGTAACGGGGAGTCCGCACTGATTCTGCGCAAGCTGGCTGTTTTGGGTATCCATGTTGTATTTTCTGTTCGGTTTGTTGAAATATTCACAGTGCTTCTGTTCTTTGTATTTGCTTTGTTGTGGTCTTCATTTCGAATCAAAGGAGATTCCCTTTAATAGAGAATCCCCAAGACGTAACAACATGTATTGTGCGACAAATGTCATTGAACTCTGCACATTGTTTGTGCAAGCAAGACATTGTGAAGCCATGGAACTCCAGGAACTGTGTGTGTAAATCCTGTCAGGTGCCATGTGTTTGGAAGGTCGGAGAAAAGACTGCGATTGAGACTGGGCGGCTGTCCAGATCCAAGCAGTGAGATTTCCGACTCTTCTCTTGTCCTCAGAGTGCTCACCTTAACCCTCTACCTCTTGTCTCCTCTTCATCTCCTTCTCTAATTCATCCACATTCATGGGAACCCTACTTCCTTCCCACTTTTTCTTTTCTTCCTGCGCAAAGCCCTCCAAACTCAGCATACCCACACACAAAAACCCCAGTACCTCTCTGTCTGTATCAAACACTTCCCACCACTCACACTCTGGCATCTTGATTCCTGTCTCTCTTGCAGCCAGGTAAATCGCTGCCGTAGCCAGCGCCGGTGGCTGGTGTGTCAAATACAGGCATTGTGGGCTAAGCAGAGCAGTGTTGAGGTGTGCGATTGCACGTTTGGCGAGTTCTGACGCGCGAGGATGCGCAAAGGCATCGAGGGCTTGCAGGTATGTTATGCAGAGTGTGTAGGGGAGCTGGACCTGTACATTGAAGCCAAGGGTGCGCAAGATGCGTTGTTCGGTGGTGAAGAGGGTTGCGCGACGGCGCTCGTACGTGCCTTCTGTGACAAAATACTCCAATGGATCCTGTTTCTGGTTGAGTTGGTCCATATCGAAGAAGGTTGTGGGAAGCGAGTCGAGGTATGCGTATACATTAACCAGACTCCGTGGTGATTTGGGGTATGCAGACAGCTTGGTGGTTAGGTAAAGAGAAGCTGCTGAGACTTGCTCTGCGCCAAACTCTGCGAGACTTCCACCTTCTGGCCCAAGCCAGAATCGCATAAACACCACAATAGCTTGCGCAATGACTTCTTGTGGTAGCCTCAATAGTATTCCCGCGGCTTGTGTAAGCCTTGCGCCGGCGAAGCGTATCGAGTCTTCGAGATCGGGTGGGATGCCGTCAATTTGTGAGCCGGAGGTCTCGAGCTGGGCTACAGTAGCCAATGGGTTCGCAAGAGGTGAGGGTTGCATTGTGTAAGAGCTGGCGTAAGCTTCTTTCCCTCGTGGTAAGCTGTCGCAGTTGGAGGTATTGGGTATGAAGCTATTGAGCTGTCGGACCTCCGGTGGGTGAGCTTCGGTGCACTAGGCTTTATCCTGTCTAGTCGCGGTGGTTCACCCCACACAACCTCGTATGGTGGAGCAGCACATCGAGATATTTGTAGGATGTAAGAGATCTCGCATGATCTCGCAGCTGACGGGAGACAATGCGTTATGCGTGATACATGAGTCTACAAACTTTACAACCAACCAATAAAAAGCCGTCTCCTTAGCTCAATTGGGAGAGCGCCAGACTGAAGTCTTCGGTCATTAAATCTGGAGGTATCGTGTTCGATCCACGAAGGGGACAACGTGCTTGAGCTTGCTCAAGATTCTTCGAACCACTTTTTTTGTCATCCTGGCATTCACATAGGGCTGACAGCCAAGACATTACTATCTTTTTGCTTATCGTCGGTGCATATTGGTTGTTGGGCAGCAATGTCTAGTTCATTTTTTTCTAATTCGCGCATATGCTAGTCAGATCACGTCTTAATACACCGAATATGCTGGTGGATTGGGAGTAAAAGTCGAAAAGATAAAATTGAATATTCTTTTGAAGCAATCTCTAAAAAAAGTTCCAGTGAAACTACGTAGCTAATATGCATTATTAACGAAGACATAAGTGGGTATCTTGCCGGCTAAATGCGATCCAAAACCTCTACAACAATAATTGTACATGCAAAATCCCACCCGTGCGAAAATAAAAAAAATATGACAAACCAGAAATCATAAATCCAAACGCCGTAAGTGTACAACCATTTTTCCCTTTAATCAATACCAATCATGGTGCCATCACACCTCCAGTCGTCGACCTCGACGTTTTCCGCGGCGGTGACGGTCGCCTCGGGGTCGATTTGAACATGGTTGAGCCATGTTCCTACGCGGTTTGCACCGACTTTCTTTCCATCTTTTGAGAGTCCAGCCATTACTGAAGAAGTGACAACGGCGGGGGGAGCAGAGCGTGAGGGGGTAGGTGCCGAGACGCGGCGGGTGCTAGAGAAAATCGAACTTCTAGGGGTCGATTGGCGGGGAGTAGATAGGCGAGCAGCGGTGCGGACAGCAGAGTTGGGCACGGAGCGGATAGCATAGGAATCGTTCATGTGGTGGCCGCCAGCGTTACCAACACCATAGATCTGGACCTCGGGTTCCGTGCGTCGTGCTGATGATACGGTCGGGGTAGGGAGATGAAGCGAGTTGCGAAGCTGTCCGGACAGAACTCGTTCGGCACGGTCGTAGTCGCGTTCTCGTTCGGGGCGCTCACGGGGGCGGATGCTTGGGCGGCGTCCTAGCGCTGGGGTGGCTTCCGCGATTTCAATAACCTCAACGTCGGGGTAACGGGGATTTGCGTATGGCACGCGCATATCATTCAGGCGATCATCATCCGGGATGTGTTGGTAGTTGAACCAAGGGCAGTTGCAGGTCTTCCATGGAGCAGCACAGACCATGCAGAATTGGGCAGTGCAGCGACTGTTGGATGGTTAGATGTTTGTTGTTGTTGTTGCAAAGAGGGTTGGATGCATTGAACTTACCAGGTCATGTGATTGCAACCTTCCTTGAGCTCCACTACAGCCTTGCAGCTGTAGCATCGTTGCCAGCCCTGCTCCTTGGCCATCTCAACCAGACGATTAGTCTCCTCGTCCTTGGGGCATTCGCGCTTGGTGTGGAATTTGCTGTTGCATAGTACGCAGACCTTTGTGTTGCATGAGCTGCATCGTGCGTACTTGCGACCGTATGTTGGATCCATCTTGACCTTGGATGGCTTGATCCATTGGCCACATCCCTTTGTGGGGCAGTACAGGCGGTTGCTGGTGGTGTACTCTTGGAACTTTTTATTCCATAGTACCTTGAACTTGTCATCGAACAGTCGGTCGGCATACTTCAAGGGAATGTGCTCTGATGTACAGCATCGTGGCGGCATGTGCTGGGGATCCTTGACAGAGAGGGTGAATTGTCGCTTTAGGCAGGAATAGCACATGCGGTGCCCACAAGCAAGCTTGACAGTCTTGTGGATAGGAATGTCATCGTTCATGCATACCAAGCAGTCGGCTCTGAGAAGCAAGTTAGTACATTGGAAGCGTGTTAATGGTATTGACGACTAACCGTTGGACTTCTCGGGCTTCGCGGTGGTCACGGTGTTCTTTATGCGCCGACGTTGAGGTGTTGCGCGACAGTGAGGGCTTGAAGAAGCTTGACAGGATTCCCCCGGTACTGCGACGGGCAGCCTCCTTGACAGACTGCGTCCTGGTAAGCGGTGTGGGTGGAGCAGGCGACTTTGCAGTGCTTGTGCGTCGCACAGACGGCCTTGCTGGTGTAGTAGATGCTTTTGGTTCACGAACAGAGGCGCTCCTGCTTTCTCATTAGTGGGAGCTACGTGTACAAGTGGGGACAGATCCTGACCTGGACAAATTTGGGACCTCAGCCCTGCGGACGGACGCGGATCCAGAACCGGACACGGGCGTGTAAGCTGTTCTGTTCGAAGACCCTCCCTCTTCACTTCTTTTGCGGACAGACGGGCGTCGCACCGTGATCTCCTCGACGTGGCCCATCGACTTTGGGCGGCCAAAGACAAAGTCCTCGTCCTCGGGGATGACATTTCTCTTTTTCGACGACCGCCGCGTCGTATCCCGGCGGACCTCTTTACTGCTGCGCGACTTGTCTTTGACGGGCTCTCGTCTGCTGTCGTGAGAGGCACGATCCCGCTCTCGCTCCCGCTCCCGGCGACGCTCTGTCTCGTTGCGCGTGTAGTACGACTCTCTCCTAGCTCTCAATTCCTCGATGTCGACGTCAGCCTGCCTCCGGGCCTCATCAGCGCGGCGGCGCTCTCTCCTTTCTCTGTCGCGGGCGGACATTGGTGGTTCGTCGTCGTGTTTTGCGTCTTTTTGTCGGCGGCGATGCTTGCGGTCTCGGTCGTCTAAATATTCGCCATCGTCGCGGTATCGTGTGCTTCGCTCATCGCGAAGCCTGGCCATTCCCATTCCCATGGACCTGGAGGCAACTATGCCACTTGCCAACTGCCAGCCTCGCAGGTCACAGGCTCTTGCACGCTTTGGCAGGCTCTGTTGCAGGTGTTTAGGCGGCGCACAAAAGCCAGCGCGGGTGTGTGGAGAGTTGCGGTGGGCGTGACGAGCGAACAGCAAGCACCTGCAGGCAGCCCAACCCTGATCAGAGAAAGTGGCCAGTCGCACGGGGCAGGCCGTCGGCGGTGAGGGCGCACAGGGTGCCGGTTGATCTCAAGCGCCCACAGGGCTTTTTCCTCGCTAACCCTCTACCGGTTGCAGGGGGTGGCGTCAGCGTCAGGCGGCGACGGGACGCAGATGGGTTGCCAGCTGGCGGGCAGTGGATGCAGATGTGCAGCGCTGCAGACGACGTAGCCTACGATGCGCCGCCCTGTGTATCTTGTATGCGGTATGCCTGTCTACCTACCGCCCATCCATGTACCTACGCCTCTAGCACCGCCTTAGTATGCCCGAGCAGCGGGCAAACAAACTGCCTCGGGCCCTCTTGCAACGGGCGCATCCCAAGGACATGGCCGGCAGAAACAAAGGCGGTGCAGCCCCATATGTACCATGATGCCCTTTGCTGCCGCGCCGAGGGCATCTTTTTTTCGGGGCTGTAAGATGGGCGCTGCAAAACTACGTAGTCTTGTCTAGAGTAAGTACGTACACCAGCTACACTGTGCATCTGCATCTGCATCTGTATCCCCGACATGGCGGGGCGGCGGACGACCACGGGCTGCCGGCTGCGGACTACTGCTACCACCACCTACTACACACTGCAGGCGGGCACACATGTGACTCGCCACAGGGGCGCCCAAGAAATTGTATTGCGCATCCTAAGCGTGATGCAATGCCGCCCAGCGCATTCAGTCCTTTTCCACAGTAATTTGGGTCGACACCTCCCATTTCTGCCCGCCGCTCCCGTACCCGCCGCCCAACCGGTTCCGCACCAGGCTGCCCACACGGTCCCGAAGACGCCCAATCTCCTCCATATTCCTGACGCGCACCTTCAGATTGGCCTGGCACAGCCCGTAATGTACCTGCCAAAATTTTGCCTCCTCCACCGTTCGGATTGCAGGATCCGCCTCGAGCTCGTGCACCACTTCCGACACCCCCGGTCCCGAGTAGGACATGAGCAGCATCTTGCCCAGCGTCCATCCCTGGATCCACCCTAGTGCTACCATGGAAAACGCAACCGAAAAGGAAAGTGTCCGGTCCAGCCACACATACATTTGTATGCTCAACAGGGGCAACACAAGTAGCAGCGACGAGCACGACAGCGTCAAAAAGTGCGACGGGTTGCTGAGGACTGAGGGCAAATTAGCAATCGCCCCCAGCCTCATCACCTTCCCGATTCGGGCATGGTTCTTGAGCACAATAGCCGACACCAGTGTCGACACAATTCCGCTCAGCGCAGCAAGATCAATGCTGCCTGGTGAAACACGTTCGTGGCCGTCTGCGTGATGCGCATGGTGTCCGCCAGCGTCCTCGAGTGCATGCGTTAGTCCGTGAGAAATCAGGTCGAGTCCCATGAACAGTAGGCCAACTGACATGCCCAGCCCGGCGATAACTTCCAGCCTCTCAAATCCAAACGGGTGACGGATGCTCGAGCGCTTCCACACTTCAAAGTTTGCTCCGACATCTACAGCCACGCACAAAAATGCGCCTAATGCATCGTAGAATATCAAGCGGGACAAAACCGTCAGAGCGAGGGACTCGTGTGCGCCCCATTGAACCAGCCCAGCTACGACCAAGTGACAAAAGCACCATGCCAGTCGCAGCTTCTGGTCCTTGGACATGGATGACCGATACTCTTTAAACGTCGGAATGGGCAGCGAGGCGGGGAGCTGGAGGGGCGCGCGCGGGGCGGGTTCTAGAAATATCTGGTGCGATACACTGCTGTGCTTGTACTTGTGTCCTCGTCTTCGTCCAACATCCTGTGAATGTTAGTATAAGCTTTGCTGGCAGGGGTGGGAGCTGCACATTGCTTTTGGCCTGCGGCTGCCCTGGTTGGTACGTGACAGACTGGAAGTTGAATGGATTGGGGTTCTCCGATCCGCTCAACGAGGGCCCATCCGTGTCCATGGCCCCGCTGGCAGCGCTGGCGGGTGTGTAGGGAAAGGTTGCGCTTGCTGGCGTGTACAGCACGGCGGGGGAGGCCCTCTGCGAAATGGAGTCGCCGGGCGCAAGCGTGGCATACTGCTTCGAGGGAAACGTCGCCGACATGGGCGACAGCAGCCCGTTTGCGGTCGAGGCCAGCGTCCTGGACGACAGATCACCCTCGAATCCTAGACCCACGGGCTGGGGCGCGTCCTCATCAGGAGGCGGCGTCGGGGTACGCGGTGGAGCTGGTAGAGGCAGTTTCGAAGCCATGACTACGGAAAAATCGGATTGCGGTAATGAGTGACTCTGCTAGCGAAAGCGCATGGCACGGAAAAATAAGATAAGAAGCGCAGTCAGACCCCAGAGGGGAGGTGGAGGGGAAATTGAGGGAGTGCTTCCACATGCAGCGCCGCATGGGGTTCATGGTCAGTGTACCCCTGCAGCCTGTCCGTGCCCACCCACGGCCGCATGGCATGCAGGGAGGCGCTACGCCAGGTACAGTGTGTATGACGCGCTGCCGTTGAGCGCTGCTGACAGCCCAGACCTAGACATGACACTCTGACAGCGCCAGCACGCTGTCGTGGCCGTCAACGCTCGCACAGGACAGAAGCAAGAACGAACAAAAGGAGGAAGCTGTCGGCAAACAAACAGACACTCAAACAAACAAACGCGCTGGGAAACGAGCAGGGCAAATGGAAGACGGTGCGGATGCGCACAACGTAGAGCCTGGCCAGGACAGCGCGTCTGGCCATAAACGCACCAAATCCGGGGGCATTCTGGGCGGGTTTCTGAGGTCATCTTCGTCGTCGTCGTCAAAGGGTCTTACAGGATCGTCGCTCTCAGCGCCCACGGGCAGCGAGGGGACACATGGACACGACGACCAAGGCGCCGTAAAGGGGTCATCCATGGCAAAGGCACTGCGCCAGACCCAGGGCGGCCGTCAGAGAAAGGGCTCGTTGCGAAAGGCGGCCATGGCCCGGATGCGCGAACGAAGCAGCTCCTTGCGCAAAGCAGCGAAACCCTCCATTATCACCACTTTCGACAAGCCGGCCCTCAACTCGTCGCCCGCCGACACCACCACGACCGCCGCCGCCGCCTGGGTGCCCGCCATCCAACTGCCATCCTCCCCGACCGAACCCACGTGCGCATCACGTGACGTTCCAGAGCCTCCTCCCTCTCCGCCATTACTCGCATCGCCAATCTCGCCCATGGCGGCGAGCCCTGCGGCGCCCTACGCTTCGACCACCGACGATGACGACGTCATGTCCTTTTACCGTCCTCTGGCCGCGAGTAGCGACTACTCTTCCTTTGCAGTGCCGAGCCAGGGCCCTGTCGCCTCTCTCGCACACCGTCGCTCGACTCGCAGCAACCGGCGTACGTCGATTACTTCGCTCGTGACACCTGCCGAGATTGACTCGGACGACGAGTGGGATTACAGTGAGACCGAATGGTGGGGCTGGGTCGTGCTGATAGCGACGTGGATAGTCTTTGTTGTAGGAATGGGCTCCTGCCTCGGCGTCTGGAGCTGGGCGTGGGACGTGGGCGAGACACCGTATGCACCACCCGATCTGGAAGACGACGCAACCCTGCCCATCACTGGCTACTATCCCGCTTTGATTGTCTGTACGGCTGTTACCAGCTGGGTGTGGGTCGTCGTCGCCTGGGTGGGCATGAAGTATTTCCGCCACGCCAAAGTCGGCGTAGACGGTTAGCCAGCCAAGCAGGGCGCGCAAACATCAATTTCTATCATCTAAACATTGCATGAACGCAACCAGGCCGCTGGGATTGACCATCTCCATTATAGGCTCTTCGCTTAACCGTTCTGCTGCATGCCTAAATATGTTCTTGGGGCTGAAACACTAACCTATACAACGGCTATTAAGCCACACCTCACACACATGCGTTACCCGGCCCTGTCCTTGGCTTGCTACACACCGACAAGGCCAACAGAGTTTGCTTTGTCCTCGTGCTCTGTCCATCTCCATCTCTTTCTTTTTGCTGCTTACCCAAATATGGATAAGCTTCCCAGGTCCCCCGCGTGTCAGTCAGAGGGGGTTTAGTAGATGATCGATCGTAATCAAAAAGAGATGCCGAGATGCTCCATCGGTGTTGCATCTCACGCCGCGATTCAGTGGCCTTGAGCTCAATTTCCGCAAATGGATCCCTCCCCACTTGCGTGATTGACCCCATAACTCGGGACAAAGGCCCTACTGAACATGGTGCGAACACCTCCAGACATTACATCAGCCTGGAACTTCCGATCCTTCAGCGCTGGAGCCAGGGTCCCACGCGCTCGCCGAATTGAGAAGATGTAAGATGAAGGCAATTTCCCTCTCCGGAGATTCTCTTAAAGAAATATTCTCGCCAACTATGCGGCTGATGCAAACAGATTGTTCATGCAACTGGGTTGTAATCATCATGGCATTACGAAGACGTCAACGAGGGAGCTCCAAGCTCGAGGAGCTGCTACCAACTCTCCTGACAGTCAAGGGCCACCACGAGTTCAAACTCGTTACTGCTAGCGGCAAGACCGCCGTCAAACCAGAATCGAACGAGAAAACATTATGCGCTCCACGACCAAAGTTTACTACACCATCCCACAGACAGCAGCCTCCTCCGCCAAACCCACATGGGTGCCCTCGCAGAAACCACACCGGACCGTTCCGCTTCCTGGAGCTCCCTCAAGAGATCAGAGACGAAATCTACTCGTACCTAGTCGTCCGCCAAACTCCCCACTCACTCCCCATCCTCGACGCAACCACCATTCTCAAGAACCGCAAGAAACGCCTTCAGGCACGGAAGACCAGGGAACGCCTCAACCAGCAACGCCTCTTGGAAGGAAAACGCCCATCATGTCCACACTCATCCACATCAACATCCAATCAACCGGATCCAATCCTCCACGTCGACCTCCTCCGGACCTCGCAAAAGCTAGCAGATGAAGCCACAGACTGCATGTACTCGAAAAACGTCTTCGCAATTACCCTCGACAAACTACCCCTAACTTCCTTCGACGCACCCCTCGGCTGGGACCTCTCCCGCATCAAACGCCTCCAAATCGAACTGCAGCTCAAAGACGCCATCCGCATGAACCGCTACGTCGACTGGTCTTCTTTCTTCTCTTCCTTCCCTTCCCTCCAGTTCTTACGCATAGTGCCTACCCTGCACCCCCGCTACTACGAGTGGTCGCGCTGCGAATTCACAGACTGGTCAAGCAAGGACACGCCGTTTGTGCACAAGGCGTTTTTTAGAGAGTTGCTTGTGGCGATTCCTCAATATGTGGATTTGAAACTAGGATTGCCGAGCGAGGTGCTGGCCACGGGGGTTGCGGCCGCTGAGGTACAGGTGCAGGGAAGGATGGGTATTGATGATAAGTTTCTCTGGGATATGTATCTTGAGCTAGGGAATAGGCTCGGTGTCACGGGAAAGCCGCTTGCGGTGAGTAGAGTCGTGTGTTGATTTTTCATCTGTGTGTGGGTTTTTTACGGTCGATTCATTTTGCATATGTTTACGGTGTTTTTTTTCTTCAAGTCATGTCAAGTTTTTTGCTGTCTTGCATTGTTTAGCGAGCTGGGTTTTTTTTGCATTTCTGTCTATTTGTCTTTCCCTCCATCTCTCTGTCTATGTCTCTGTCTCTGTCTCTGTCTATCTCAAAAGCAAGTGGCGAGCCCTCCCAGGTGTGTAAAAAAACGGCCGGCTGCATAATCTCCCCCCCAAAATGCGGCTAACTACGATTTCGAGCATACGGTCTCCCCCGCGGCTTCCAGTCCGCTCCCTTTTTTTTTTCTCTCTCCACGTTCCAAAACCCCTTATAGAATAGATTTTCCTTTCGTTCGGTTTACGATTATCACATTACATCATCTTTCTGCAACTCCCATGTTACACACCTTTTTAATTATCGCAAATAACTTTACTTTGTAAAGTAACGTAGTATTAATTTTTAAATGAAATACTGAACAAGATTGGTGGGATTTTTCCTCCCGGTGGGTGATTTGTCCGTTGGTTGTTCTTTTTGGACGTTTCGTCTAAAAATAAATATTTTTAGGAGCAAAAGCAGCCGGGAAGCGAAGAGGTAGGGGTTGGGAGTAATGAAGGCAAGGATATCTAAGTTATATGGGACCTTGTTCTCCCCTTTTTTTTAATTCAATAATAACGGGGCGTCTTATGATTTTCCCCGTTACATGGTATTGTGGCACGTGACAGGAACTTCGTATTCGTACTCCAGAGAAAAACAAAAAAAACACGGCAGGACTAGTTATTTTTGAAAAGAGAATGGAACAAGTTTCGTGATACGAGAACAAACACTTGTAATAATAAACCAAAAAAATGGTGAATTGATTTCTATTTCGCTAAATCGCATTGGGGATTGTAGCGAGTTAAGATGTGGAAGAACAAAAAAACGCCAAAAGTGCGAGACCAACGTCCTCTGGACAAGTCACCGACACGATGCTATACATCTCCCCCAATTTTTCTATACATTACACAAGAAGCAGAAAATGTGGACACCATCGTCCCTAAATAGACACATTGTTTTCCTTTTTCCGGACAAGGGGAACAACGCCACCACAACATCTCAGCTAGTGTCATTACTCGCGCTTAGATGGTCCTTGTTGTGGTGATCCTTGGCCTCTGTACGGGTTATTAGACCCAGCACCCCACATCCTCTCACCCTCGTCCTCCTCTACTTGCGGTGCACGCGGTCGGCTCCGTGAGCGAGGCGGTGGGACCATGGTCTGATACGAAAACTCTTCTACCTGGCCCGTAGAGATTGAGCTCGGTGAGCCGGGCGCTGTGCTACGAGGAGGCCTTGTTGAAGGTGCTGATGGTGGTGGTGCGAATGAGCCCTGGCTGGTAGACGGTACTACTTGGAGTGGTAGAGGTGGTGGTGGGTTCTGACGGGTACTGTCTACAGAGAGGCGTGAACCGTATGGAGACAAGGTTGCACCGCCCTTGCGCTTTCCAACAGAGCTGACCTTGCGCAGCAAACCACGGACTTCATCAATGTCTGGCCTCTGGTCCATGCTTGGGCGGCCGATAGTGCTAGCATCGTCGCCACGCGCCTCCCAAGTGTCATCTCGGACTGCGTCATGGCCGGGCCTGCGGTTGTTGAGTGAAGAGATGGCGTGGCTTTCACCACCAACACCAAGGTAATCGACTCCTGTAGACGCACCAACGTTCTCGTCCTTGAGTGGGTTGAGAGGGTGCATACGGCTTGCATCAGCGCTTTCCTTGTACTTTTGGTATGCAGCAACAGCTTCGGCCGGGGGAACTGCAACAGACCAAGTGGGCTTATCTTGAGAACCAAGAGTAGCATCTCCACCACCTGGGCCATTGATAGGAACTTTGCGGAGAGCAACGACCAATGCGCACATGAACTTGGACCGGCGAGCAGCACGAAGCGATTCGTTGGACCAGTTGCTCTTGTGTCTGATTTCGACGAGAAGCTCCAACTTGTTCATTTCAGCAATGCTGACAACCTCAATATCGATGTCGGGGTGGAATTCGCGAGCGTTGGCTGGTTCCCGAACGAATTTGAGCATTTCCAACTTGAGCAGGTTGATATCCTCAAATGATGTGGCAAAGTCGCAGAAGACAGAGACCTGTTCTCGCATAGCCTTGCTTCGGGTGATGTTCTCCACCCACAATCCGTTAAGAACGATGTTGGGGATCTGGACAGTTTTGCCGTTACTAACGCGCTTGAAGACCGTGTAGAGCAGCTGAATGTGTTCGACAGTCAGCTCTGTTGCAGTAATATCAACGCGATCGCCAATGTCGTACGGGTGCTTGACGAAAAGGAAAATGCAGGAACCGAGAACTTCCTGAGCGGTAGCAGCGAATACGAAAGACAGGGAAAGGAGAGCAGTAGCCGACGTAGCTAGAGTAGTGCGGAAACCTGGGGCAAGGAAGGCGATGAAGACGAAGAGACAGATGATTAGGGCAATGGTCATGACAAGGCCATCCAGGGCGTTGATGGCCTGGTCAACGTCGTGCATGCTGGAGTTGATAGACTTGCGCTGCCTGGCGAAGTCGGTCACGGTAAGGATCATCTCCTCCAAGCTTATGTCGCCGTTTCCGTCACGGTCAATTGAAGCAAAGCATTCCTCCGCTTCTTCCTGGCGGTTGGGTCCCATTACTTCGACAAGGTCCTCTAGGTAAAGCTCGTTCTTGCCTTCGACAACCAAAGACATCCAGATACGCTTGGCAAGTGCCTCGGCACTCTTGTTCCTCTCAAGGGCAGTAATGACAATCGAGTGAGCTGAGTTGGTGTCGAACACCTTCTTGCCAGTGATCTCTGAGGCAATAGTACCGAAGACTGAAGTGATCTTATCACCAATGCGACCGGCATCTCGGCCAACTTCTTGGATGAGGCGCAGAGGGGTGCGGCTGCCCGAGCGACCGTGCTTGAAGGTTCCCTTTTTGCTGGATAGTCCGAGATCGAGAATTGTATCCTGGATGATGTAGTCTTCCTCAGCAAACTCGTTGCAGTAGGCGGGGAACAAGCTTCGCGAAGTGTCGTAGAGTACACCAAGAAGGTAGATGTTGCGCTTTGACTCCTTGATCTTATCATCAAACTGCTTGCGGTGGTAGCTGATACTGATGAGTTGGATGAAGACGCGTTCGCCGAAGATGATGATGGTACAGACAAGGAGAGCAAGCAGAACTGACTGCATAGGGTCAAGCCAAGATGGATACCTATCACCAGTTCTGCCAGGGACGGGTCGAACGAGCTATGTAAACTTAGCCATGACATTTTGTGATGGTATAAAGACGAGACACTTACAGCAGGGAACGTGGCCTGGTTGACAACCATCCATAGGACGAACGACAAAGACTTTTCTACTGCTCTCAGCAGCTTGACGTACTTCTTGACACCAGGACTGACAACTCCAACCAAAAACTCAAAAATATTAGGAATGAAATGGGCGACAATCTTCATGACCCAGAAACTCAGCCAGATGATCTCAATCCAGATCCAGAACTTCTTCTGGTTTGTGCCGCTAATCGAACCTGTGATGGTACCAGTTTGCGAGAGAATAATGGGAATGGCCAATAGGAGCGCAACCGGTGCGACATAGACCATGTAGCGCGTGACAATACTCCAGTTCAAGATCTTGGTGTAGAGCCTTCCCATGCGATTGAGAGCAGTCTTTTCTTCCTGATCGCGAGGAGGTATGGGCGCGCCTGTCCTCTCATCTATGGCAGCCAACTTCCTGCGCCCGCGCGTGAACATGTGTGGCCTCTCGGCCTTTTCATTGTGGGCATTGGAGGGTGAGTGTGAAGGCGTGTGGCTGATGACAGTCTCGAGAGGTATGTTTGTTGCGTGGTTGTCCATGGCGGCGTTGTTTATGGGCTGAAAGCCTTGACTGGAGAGTCGGAAAGACCTTGAGGATCGCTTACTTGTCATAGAGGAGACTCGGTGGGGGTTAGTTGGAGCAAGTCCGTTTGCCGACAAGACGTGGGCAAGACGTGAATATGAATGCGGGCCGCGTAATTGGAGGGTACGGGGATGTACCCAGAGATGCCTGGCTTGTCAAGTATGTGCGTCAAGCACCTTTGACTAGGCGAATTTGTGGAGCGATCGATATAGTGGAGAGATGGGGTAGGGACAGCAATTCGACGAAGGCCTGCCGTCAATCTCTGCGTACGGTAACGAAGAAAAGGAAAAAAGAAACAGGCGAACGAGTGAAAAAGCCTTTCAGGGCACAACGACAGCGGCGAGGGGGAAAGAAAAGAGCGAGTAAAGAAAGTTAGAAATAGCAAGGAGCAACTCGTGTGTTGGAGTCGAGGCGTTAGACTGACACCAGGCATGCAGGGATGGTCTAGCGGGAAAGCCACAGACGGGGATATGAAACCCCGCTAGCACTCGCCACAGCGAATCACGGAATGGGCCTATGGCCTCTGCTGGCCGCACAATATCCCGTTATCCGTCGGTTTCATGGCGACACTGGGCAAACCTCGAGGCCGTTGCTTCATCGCGAGCTGGCTGTTGTACGCGGTGCAGTAGAGTTGTTTGTCGACCCCTGGGTTGTGCCAGACAGGACGGCGGGCCCGAGGATCGGCTATCCCTGGCGTGGATCCATTCTGGCCAACGAGTTTGGGCAAACGCTGCGTATCGATAGGCCTCAACAATGTCACCACAGCCGGTACATGGACGCCTCTCTCCAGACCATTGTACGCCATGCTCCACGGGCCATGCAGCTGTGATACGTGCCATCGGATGTCATTGCCGTAATATTACCGCGTCACTTGTACACACCGTTCCAAACAGTCGCCCCACGCCATAGTCTTTGCCGGGTGAAACCTCAGTGCAAAGTAATCTGGCAGCGGCCATACTCTGCCAACCCTCTATTCATAGTCCTGCTCTGTGGCTCTAGTGGCAAGGGACGACTCGAAGAAATTTTTTTTCAGGAAAGCTGCGCCGACGGTCATAGCCGACATTGCACTGTGCAGCTCGTATGTGCATCGACAAGTGCAGTAACCATCTAACCCACAGGCTCGCCTATCCCCGGGTGGAGTCGTCTCCAAATCGAGAACCTGTCCACGTAATCGCTTCCCCTATTGAGCTGCATCCTCTGTCCGTTTCAGCCCCATGGCGGGGGGCTTCCAGGCACAATTTGCTTTTTACTGGCTGTATGCCTGTGGCGTCTGCACCACCCTTGCACCCTGCCAAAACCACCTCTTTATTTTCTATACTCAACACCATCCATCAGCGCTGCACAGAAGGGAGAAAAGAAGATTGAATCCAAGCTAGACGGCTTGCCGTGTGTTAGCACTGCAGATCAAGAGGCAAACCTCTGTTGATCGGCCGCTAGCGGTCCCCATTCGCTTAGTAGGGCTCAAGCCGCTGCCGTCACCGACCCAAGTCTTCGATGCCAATCATGATCCTCACGAACACGAAGATCAACACCCACACACACACACGAGCATACAGAATGCTCCTGCTTCTACACCACAGTAATACCTACCACATGCGGGGACAAGCACTGTGCACACAATCGTGCATGCGTCCCGAAAATCCAGCGTGAACCCTTCTTACGCCATGTCATCGCAGATCTTGTCACACATCCTGGACTTTGCTTATGTCTCCACGTGCCCTACCGAACTACTCCACTCTCGCTTTCATTTCATCACACTCGCAACATTACTGGGTTTCAATGTTTGGACTACTTAAACATCCATGGGCATGGGTTTCGTAGACGTCATCCCGCCTGTCAGTAGGCTAGTGCGGCGAAGCCAGATGTCTGCTCTTTAGACTTGTCTCTTTCACCGCCTTTATTTAAAGTCTGGTATATACAATTTGTGACGGCTAGAGAAACTCTACTTCGGGCTTATTGTATGCGCTGTTTAAAATAGCTGATACATGCTAGGTATTATGTAGTAGTGCACTGTGGTTTAAATTCACATGAGATGGAGCAGCAAAGAATCACCGCTGTTCGGACAACCTTGATAGAGCTCGAGTGACTATTCGATACGCTCACAATGATGATATGGCCTAGGCTGCTTGTTTCGCTACTATAGTATGACGCACATTCTCTGTGTATCAGCAAGGCAGTTCCAACCCTAATGACATACTTGCTCTGTCAAGATTTCACCCACAGTGCTGGTTCCACAATCTTCGAAATCTGACTTCTCAAAAATTCACAGTGCTACTTTGTGGTCAATGTCTTTCTCGTTTCGGTCTAAAAACCCTCTGTAGCTGAGAAGTTGCCGAGCGTTTCTGCATCGGATGGGTGAAAGTCTATCCCCGTGTACACCGCTTCTATTTTCGGAAGCTTTAGTATTACCAAGGTGTCGGGCAGATAAAAGGTAAAACTGGTGAGAATACATGTTCGAGATCCAAACATCTGCCTTGAACGTATTCTAAGTGAAGACTACTACTGCATCGTATGCCGTCACGTGGGACCACACCTGCACCATTACACTGCACGTGACAGGTTTACAACTCCACAATGTCTGCCCAGCGTTAAGATTTTGGGAAGCCGAGGAAACTAATTCATCTATACATCTAATGTTCCTCTTAGGGATTTATACCTTAGTAAAAAAGGGTTTGTTTCGTGTTACCCTTCCGCGACACAACAGTTTCCGTTATACTCTTGTATCCTCCATGGTCTCGCAAATGACAGTTACTAAGCATCATAAATGAAATGAACCAGGCTATTTCACATGCTCTTTCCACCCCAATGCCTCTCTAGTAAATTCCATAGATCGCATCACCGCTACTTTGAATTCAACCTTCCTCGGGTCGCCGATCGTAACGACCCGACGGTGTGACCTCGGAAAGCGCCATTGAGTCTGCGTAGTAGCTCCTATAGCGGAGCAAAACATACCAAAGCTAAGTGGACCATCAAAGCCCATGAGTGGGTCTCCCCTAGTCCGACCAACCCTGCATGTGCGTAGGTATGCGTAGCTGCCGCAGCGCATGACATCTGACACGACGACGGGTATCGCTACTATTTTACAATTGCAGCAGCGATAAGTGTAATTTGCAAACTACAAAGCATCTCTCCCAGTCTCTCAAAACTGGCTTGATTTCTCAACCCAACAGTATCGCCACTCATGATGTCAACAAGCATTTTGCTTCGCCACCCCTCAAAAAAACATGCAACTGCATGCAGGAGATCTATTCCTGCTACAGAACGGCCGGGACGCATGCATGTGCAGCCTCGCTGGCAATGCCCATGTGGAGACGCAGCTCACGCGGGCGGGCGGATCTAAACCCATGTTGGTTTAAGCTGGAGTAGCTCGTTTTTTAACTACGCGGCCTTTGGAGCACCCCTACCAACATTACAATTTTAGAGCTTAACAGAGTAAATACTAGTCACTCTAATTAGAATTGCTACTCTGATTAAAAAGAGTTACAAAAATAAGTAATTAAGCATTTTACTAGATTCTGGGTTACTACTTAGTTATTACCTAGATTAACACGCACTAGCCTACACTTTGAACCAATCATAGAGAAGTAGTCACTTCACCCTCAACAGTAACGAAGCTACATGGTTGTGACTGTAAACCGTCCTTCCAAAATGGGTCTACCTTGAGATACCCTAAGCCCATTCAATGGCAAGATTCCAGCACGTATTTCAATACCGCAGTTTTCCAACATCAATTAGGTTCTAAATCAACACAATCAACATGAGTAACCTTTAATGCGTTATCATGTCTACAGATCTTTCTTACTCTAGGCACTAAGTTCAAAGAGAGAACTACATCTCCAAGAGCACCAACAGCAATCAGCGCTTACAAAACGAAGCCAACATTCCACCAGTCGAAAGCGTTTGTTCCTTTGTTCTCGTAATCAATAACATCTCAAAGCTAGCTACTTCATCCTCTATCATTTCGAGTTAGCATCTAGATAGCTCACTCCCTACAGAATCGAAGAAAGAAATATTGATATGCTTCGAGATGAGATAAAGTAACTATAAGGGAGATAACTTTTCTGCCGATAATAGGTTTTGTGTTAAATGGATCTTGAGACTAATACCCTTGAGCCAGGTTGATATGAGAGGTGGTTCTCAATGACGAATGGCTGGTAGGGGAATGGGTTGATATGTGGAAGTATGTAACTGCGGGGATAAGTAGGTTTAATAATGTGAAAGGTATCTAATCAAGTAACAGTGAGGAGTTTGATTACTTCAAGGTCAATAGCATACTCTTATGTGCTTATGTATTTCGCAAAGATATTGCCATTGATATGCTCACCCATATATTTGACCACCTTCTAATACTGTATCCAGATGCGCATTACGTTCGGGGAGGGGGGCTGGTAGGACAAACTTAGTCGCATGGAAACTACGGAGCTTGTACGAGCTACTCTTGAAGCTAGAGGCGTGGTACCGCCCTGCATCGTCCTTGTATCCAATTAGTATGATGAAATAATATTGTTTTCTGCAATTGATACGCGCATCAAGTATCTACTCCATCTCGTATCCATGGTCGTGGTCATTGTTTGCGCTGCTGCAAGTGTGACTTTGATCGCTTGCTATTTCTGCAAAGGCGGCCGTAGTCGGCCCTTTCTTTGCTGCTAGGGTGCTTACTGCACTGCTGGATAATTTTCGGTGGCTGAATAACGCTTAGATAGTGTGTGGTCAGTTAAATTGATTAATCATTATTTTAAATCCAGTTAATAAGTAACGGCTGCTAAAGATATGAGAATTAACACTCTTTAACAGCTGTTAATTATATCTTCATGTCTACCAATATTAGCTTACTAGCGGCAGTAAAGTCAGATAGCTGCAGATAGCGGGATGAGGGATTGGTGGTCGAGAGCCCAAATGGCCGAAGACCTAGTACGTCAGCTTAGTGTGGGTGGAGAATACAATCCCGAAAGAAACAAACTAGGCTGCTCTCAGAACCCGAGCATATCGCAACACACCGACATTCATTCCTCACACGATTCCTGGCCGCCTGTACGGCCCCCCGCACGCTAGGATCACGGGGTTGTGGGAAGATGTAGCTACCAGCTGACTGCGAGGCTTGCGCCACTGACGAAAGGGTCCAAGGGCGATAATTCGGTGTGCGAAAGAGTACATTGAGCTTCCCCTCCTCTTCTTCTCTACCCTGTCATATGTCACTCGTATTCCTCCGACTGGGTTCAACGTTCCAGCCGGATAAAAAAGTAAACGCTTGGGATTAGTACGAACGAGTGGCTATCGCTGGGTTTGCCTCCCTTGCCAACGGATCCAGATTCTCACCGACACTTCAAACCAAGAGTACATATCAACAAGAACGGACTCCACCTTTGCAACTACTCTCCCATCCAACCAAACCCGACCTCGCCAATTTCCCCTCTTTATTACCCGTTTGTGCAAAAAATTAAGCATAAATTATACCTGTTGGCCCCCCTCCCCGTACGCGCGCAAGGAAAAAAAGCAGACCCTGGAACCGATTTCAAAAGAGATACGCGCGCGCACGCTCAGCACACTCAAATTCGCAATTTAAAACTCCTAGTAAACGTGTTCACTTTCCGTATTGCGCATCCCCTGCTACCCCCTTCATATCCCCAAACTCCGACCTACTTTCATCTATATTACCGCGCTACTCCTTCATCTTCTCCTCTTTTCCCGCTTTTCCCCAAAGAGCTGCCAAAAACACACACGCACACCACCGCCACTACTCCTGCGAACTACACCCGCAAACCGAAGGGAGAAAAAAAAGCACACGCATCATCCTGCGAACTACCGGTTTACAACGCACACATACTTGCCTCGCTCTCTCTCCACACACACGCAAAAACGCCTCCCCCCCCCGAAACAAGCGAGTCAGTCTCCCACCTCCAAACCCCACACTCGCAAACCAACCACGTCACCACCCTACCTGCGATCTCCCACCAGCCAATCAACCACTCCCACACTCCACAAAACACCAACATCAACACCAGCGGTAGCAACAATGGGCAAAGACTCGTCCTTCCGCATCTGCATCGCCTTCCTCCTCATAGTGCAACTCGCCTGCTGGTCCCTCACCCTGCTCGACTTGCTGCACCCGGGCAAACCGCACGCGCTGATGCGCAACGTCATGGACCTAGTGTCTCTCTTCTTCTCCCGCCAATCTACAACCGCGTTGCTGAGCTACCGCGATATCAAGGCGTTGATGTACTGAGTGAAGTGACTTGCGCTCCACTTCGCAGAGAGCCCCTAATGGCACACACACACACGCACGCACGCACACACGCGCGACATGGTGGGTTAATGATTTGAATACGATAACCACGGTTTCTTTTATTCTTGTTGTCTAGCGTCTGAATTTGAGTTTTTTTTTGGTTGGCAGGGAGTTTGTTAGGAATCTTTTTGTTATGCGATTGGGAAAGGGAAGGAGGTAGAGGAGAGAGAGTGTGCGTGAGAGTACTACTCGATAACCCCGATCCGCGCCGTTCCCCCACCAATTTTTTGTGGGGATAACAAGACTGGGGGGGGGCGGAAAGAAGAAGAAGAAGGAGAATGAAAGGGATATATACCCGAGTAAGAGGCTACAAGAGCTGAGCTGAGCCGAGTCGCGGGCAAGAAAGAGAGAAGTGGAAGAAGAAGATAAGCAGAAGAAAGAAAGCGAACATTTGCCAGAAAGGAAGTAAATTTTTGACTCATTGTACTTAGCTTTCTTGTCTTTGATTTGAAGAAAAATAAACAAATAACCCAGGTTCAAGCCTCTTTTTCACATACTTTAACGAATCGACACACACTTGTGTCTTGTATATGATGCCTCCCTTTCCCTCCCCGCTAAAAAAGAAAAGAAAGAAAAACCAGCAGACAACCCCCAAAAAACAGTCTCTTAATGCACACACCCACTCACACAACAGAAAGGGCACATGCTTTGTCTTTCTTTCAGGCACATGGAGTAGCCCCGGGTTTATTGTCCCCTTGTTTTTCTTTTTTGCTTAAATCTGCCTTGGATTTCAAATGCTGATAATAACAATCTTCACTCCCCTCCCCCTCTCCACCCAACTATCCCACCAAAGTATCTGTGTGCATACGTATATGACTTTGACCAACATAGTAAAAAAAAGTTATAGCGATTGTTTGCGGATGGAGAAAAAGAAGAAGAGGCGGAATGCTCGCCCGACAAAAATGACACCCCAACGCCATATAAGAAACACCGATGAGAATGCAAGTGATAGGAGTGGTGTGGAATGATTCTCTGGAAAAAAAAAGTTGGGTTATGAATGTGAGAACTACTGAGTAGCGTGGTGCTGGCTCACTTCATGTGCCATGCTGACTTCCCCAATATGCTTCTGGTCCATGTGAGAGCGCTCGTCAGAAACAAACTCAACAGGAGGCGCCGGGCTAATCTCATCATTGCCAGCATTGTGGGCACCGACCGCCTTTGGCGCGTCGTCATTTGGCCTGAGCGTTGTTGTGCTCTCAGCCAGTTGATCTGAAACGTCTGCAGTACTGCTTGTCGAGTCTTCAGCCGCCTTGTTGGCACCGTCTACCTGCAACTGAGTCTTCGTCTCTCCAACATCCTCAATAAACTGGGGTTTGTTCTCGTTCTTATTCTCCTCCTCCGGGGAAATGGCTTCTTTAAGACTTTCAAAGTTGAACATGGGCTCCGTGTTAGTTGGGATATTTGGGATCTGTGGAGGACTATCCCCTGAAGCATTCAGACTGGGTGAATATGATGAACCGGCCACTAGATTGCTCTGACCCTCTTGTCGCAACGAGTTTTGGTAGGACTCGGAATACGACGACGTGGACGACGAGGCGTTTGACAGATTGCGCATCAGAGCGCGGTGTGACTGCTGCTCGTTGTTGTGCGGATCGAGCGTTGCGGAATTGGCCGAGTCGGACGTTTCTCGCTGAATTTGCGCACGGCTGGCTTCAAGATGGCCTTGAGGATCATCCTTGGTAGAGGCAGTGTGTGAACTCGATCCCAGCTCTGACTTGGAGCCACCTGCGCTACCAGATCGGTCGATTCCTTTACCTTTTCCGACTGCACCCGAACTGCTGGCTTCTGCGCCATCAACATCGTCAATAGATATAGGGTGAAAGCCGCTGCCAATGTTACGTTGGGCCTTTACGACCTTCTTGAACTCCTTGGTCTTCTTCTTTTCCTCCTTCCGGGCTTCTTTGGCAGCTTCCTTTTCATCCTTTTTCTTACGCTCTTCTTCGGCTGCCAAACTAAGACGGATAGCCTCCATCATCATGAGATCTTCGAGATCCTCAAGTCTGTTGCCTCTCCTCGAGCTCAACCGATTGGGAAACAAATCGCTTGAAGATCCCTGCTGGCCTGAAGAGCTTTCGCCTTCGCGTCGTGGTGTCCCATTTCCACTACTACCGCCGCTATCGGTAGTGAATAGTCGCCTTCGCCTGCCGATACCAAAGCGACTCTCTCCCTGTTGCAGATTGCCCATCATGTAGGCAGCGTTGTGTAGAGCCGTGGCCGCAGCAGCCCTTCGTAAAGCGTGGGACTTGGCATCCGCAAGCTTCTTCGCCCAGTCAGGCCGCACCATGTCTGTTGTAACAACTGTCTTGTCATTAACCGCGAGTGACGTTGCCCTTCTTCGTCCCGATCCAGCGGAAGTGGGTGAATGCAAGGATGTCGTGGATGACATTGCCGATGTTGCGCTGCCCAAATGGGTTGAGCCCTGGCCGCTGTAGACTAGGCCTCTCCTAAAAGGCGGTGGCTCATACGTCACTCCGAACTCGGTTTGTGTGCAGTATGGGCATGCAGCGGGTTCTGACACCAATTGGATCTCCTCTTCCGGCTCAGCGGGTGGCGAGCCCTCGGCTCCAGGCTCTCCGTGGTGCTCCGGGGGATGCGGGTCCGGACGCTTGATTTGGACAAAGCACTCTGAGCAGATGGGCTGATCGCAACAACGTGTTCGGTTGAGATGTGGTGGGTAGTACATGAAGCAGATGGGGCACTCTGACGCATTCTTGTATAGAAAAGCCTCCACCCGTTGACCATTGACGTACGGATCCTTTGGCAGCTGTACTTCCTGGGGAGCCATGTCGGCCTGTGATGCATTGCGCGAACCGGTTGCGAGAGAAGCTAGAGTTTTTGCGCGACTGCGGAAGAAGGGCGAGGAGGAGGATTGGTTGGACATTGGCGATGTAGGTGAAGGAAGAGAGGAGCCGGGGTGCGAAGGTGATAGGCGCTCTGGCTCTTGCGACATGGATCGGGAGCCCATGGGTACAGTAAGTTGGTTCAGGTTCGGCTCAGAGCTGCGGGGGTTCCATACTGGACTGAGGTTGTTGTTCGGTCGAGGCGGCTCTTGTGGAGGAATGGCGTCGGCAGCGGGTAGCGGGCGGCCGTTTACGACTTCGACGAGCTGGTGCTCAGTCCAAGTGTCTTGGTGGTCATCGAGACCTCTCCAAAAGGGAGCAAGTCGGCGCTCAATCTAGCATGTGTCAGTACGATGTTTTAACGGTAGTGGTGTGATGCCGTACCTGCAGCTGTCGCACCGCGGCCTTGCTGAAGTCTTCGGGACCGGTATAGACTCCAAGTGTGACCAAATAGCCTCCATCAACACCCTCCTCTCTCAGACTTCTTTCGCGCTCCTGCGCCCGAAGAATACGCTCTCTCTCCAGCTTCCGGGCCTCCCTCTCTGCCTTTGTCTCACGGCGCGGCTCGAGAGCAGGATCTCGCTCAGCATGGTCTGTTGATCGGAAGCCGAGAATGGACAGGTCTGGTCTGCTGCCTCTATCCCTTCTCGAGTTGCCATAGGGATTATTGCTTGATCTGTCGTGTCCGGGCCCGGCTGTGGTTGGAGAAGCGATGTTGTGTGCGCTGGAGCGGCGGCCATGGCCCCTTCGCTCCGGTAGAGACTCTTTTCCCTGCGAGTTTCCCATTGTGGAGGGAGAGAATCGAGAGAACGAGGCTGTCGAGCGAGAGGGGGATAGTGGGGAACTTGTAGTTGGGGGGCCCGTGTATACCCAAGAAGCGTGTCACGGACAGTTCCGACAGGGATAAAGTCTTATCGCGAGGGCAGGCTGGTGGAGGGTGGTGAGGCTGTCTGGTGGGCGATAGCGAGTGTCACAAGGACATGGATGCTAGGGAATGTGGGCGGCGAGGGTGCCTCTCCCTGTGCTGGCGACTCAGGAAACGCGGGCGGGGTGGGATGGCAGTCGCGATTGACAGAAACAGCGCATGGGCAATGCGGCGGGGAGGGAGCAGGCGTGAGGGCCGCGAGGGCGAGGACGAGGGCGAAGGGTGGGAGTGGTTGTTGTGGTGGTGGTGAGCAAGGATTGGTGAAATGATGTCGTTTCTTGGCAGCCAGGCAGGGCGGTGATGGGCAAACCGCGTTATGATGCTGTTAGGGCCGAAATGGGCAGATATCAGGCTGCAGACAATGACACGGGCGCCGGCATGTCAGCCCGGCGTGCATTCAGCTGAGACGGCCTGTTGCAGCGAGAGTGGTGGGCGACTTGTAAGAATGGGTGAATGTCGGTCTGGATGGAGTATGTGAGAGGGAGAGGGCTCGGGAGAGGGCGAGCAAGACTCGACGACGTCGACAACGACGACAAAGCGGCAGCCGACGAGAGCTGTACGTACTATGTACCGGTATGGGCCATGCACATGCACCCGCCGGCCTAGCCATCGAGGCCAGCCCGCCGTGCCGAACAGCCCGCCCAGCTTATTAGTGATAGCGTGCATCCTCCCCCATCCCCTCACCCGCCCAAACATCATTGCTTCACTTTTGCATTTACACATACTTACACATACACCACTTCCATACGCATTGTACCCGTCAGGCTGGGCTGCTGCATCCCGACCGACACTCGCCACTCACGGCACACTCGCAATCATGAACACGCTCTCTCCCTCTCACCCTGTTGGGCGGCGCGCGAGCATCACCGGCCGCCCCCCCGCCTGAGTGCGGGGCTCCAGACACGACAGTCGGTCAATGCAATGGGGTTGGTTGCATAGCTGGCTGCTTACATACTCCCGCTACGTACGCTCCTTCACATGCCATGCTGCCCGCCGCCGCCGCCAGCCCTCGCCCTGCCTCGCCTCGTCTCTCCCTCAGAGCGTTCCAAACTCCCACGACGACTCCCAGTGGTACTTGTCGCCGGGCCCGAAGATCTGCTTGTTCAGCCGACCCCACTCCGGACTGTTCAACACTATTAGCTTGGCTCGTCGACTACGTCACAACTCATCCCTCTACTTACTGATTGATGCCATCCGGGTAGTCCTGCGCCTCAATCGCAATGCATCCGTCGCGCGGGATAAACTTGTCCTGTCCGGCAACTCCCTGTGTGCTCTTGAACTCGGTCTTGCCATCGTTCCAGTTGCACGTGTACAGCACAACCGCGTCCTGGTCAGTCCTCAGGTCCGCCTTGATGCCGCTGTACGCGCTCGCTATTGTCAGCACGCTCTTGCCCTTGTCCCTCTTTTCGTTGAATGCCCATGCGCCATTGTATCCGTGGCATCCATTGCCGCAGTGGTTCTCGAAGCCCGGCCTGTCCGACGCAAACCCGAGCTTGTGCGGCGCTGACCAGAAATCATCAGTCGCATTCGCCGCAATCTGCGCAATCTCCCCCGTGGGCAGAGCATTTGCATCAGTCACTACCACGCGCTTCGCCTCGGGCATGTACACAGTGTGATCCCAAATGGTCCGGTTGTCTGGTCGCCTAAACGCATCAAGCTGAAAGTACGTGTGCTGGGTCAACATGAGAGGAGTCTTCGCTTCCGGCGATGTAGCATCCATGGAAATGTGCCATTTGTTCTTTGACACCGAGTACGTGACGCTGGCATCCACGCGACCAATCATGCCCAGCGACGAGTTGGAAGCGTCCGAGATGGCGAATGTGATTGACGACTTGCTCGCACGGGTCACGTTCCATACCCTGTAAGACCAGTTGTTGGTACCGCTGTGCAGAGTGTTTGGTCCGTCGTTCTTCTCTGTGTGATACGGGACGTTGCCAATCTTGTATGTTGCATTTCCAATGCGGTTGACGTATCGTCCAGGAATGGCATTGTACACGGGATGTCCAGGGTCAACAGCTAAACAATGTTAGATGGAACTGACTCTAGCACAACAAAAGTCTTACGGTAATAAGTCGTGTTGTCATAGCCTAGGACAATGTCCTGGTATTTGCCCTTTGAATCTGTGTTTCCGTTAGTAGCTGCACTTGCTCATATCAACGAGTGCCCACCTTTGACCCAGAGGTTGGTGAGGGTGGCAGCATATGGGATGAATTGCGCCTTGATCCCTTCAGCCTCAAGCGTGTATCGTCCTTGTGCATCTGGACGAGGCGGTCGCGATCCGAGCGCATCTTGCGCTGTTGCTGCTGCTGCCGCTGCCGCTACTGTGAAAAGAAGATATTTCATCGTCGACTACGTATCACAACAAGTGGAAAAGAAGGACAATGGTGCCAGAACATGGTCACATTACGGCGCGGTCATCTTTTAATTCCCAAGAAGCACACAACAGGATCCGTCCTTCGGCAGTACATGCACATTTATTACTAGGTTTCGGACCTGTAATACCATACCCTGTAACTCTGGATAAATCCGGGATTGGACAGATGGAGCCTTGGCTATATAAAGCAATATGCCAAAGATTACTTCGAGATTCCTCAAGTTACTAGGTGGCTTAGCTGCGGAGTCTTAGTCTCCAAACAGACGTTTACGCCCCATTTCATTAGTATAACAGATTGTACCAAGTAGCGCGTGTCACATGGGGGGGCTTAATACAAGGCCACAGTGACCGTTTTTGCGGGTTGCCTTTACCTTGCAGGTGGGGCGACAAGCCGGCTGTCTGTTCCTTGACCCATGCTCCCTCTCTGTGCTTCACCCGGTACCACCTTCCTCTCATACGCTCGATAGCCGCCCGCGTGTGCGCGGCATTGGTTTCTGGTACTCCATCTTGGTAAATTCCATACGTATCCTCTCATTCGTCTTATTGTTATCAATGAAATTTGCTCAATCTCTGTCGGCAACTAAAAGGTTTGTACATGGACGACGTGGTGCTAATTTCGGTCACATTCATGATCCGCGGAGGGATCGACGGTGAACATCACATGATGCTTCCGGGTACAATATCCGGATGCCTCGACTGAGGAATTGGAACGACACCAGAACTACTCAATCTACGCTGCATATCTACAGTTTGAAATTATACTACATATTCTTGTTCCAAAAACAACAGGTTAGCATTCGACTTCATCTGTGCCTACAGGTCTCACATGATGCTTGTACTCCCCCATACGTCAACTGGCTGAGGCATATTATATCGGAATGACCCATTCACACAGATTTGATATGAGTGTCAGCGAAGCGATAAAGTCTGAGCCAAACGTACCATCATTACACGGCTGTCAAAGACTTCCAATGACACATGACGACCGTTTCACGCGGACAGAAATAATACCCAAACTTTTGGCCCATCTCAACATCTCAAACTCGTTTGTATTGTCATTTACCAGTCACAAAAGGAGTTGGTATATACCCCAAGAACCTTTCTCTTACATAATGCGATCTACTACATCCCGAGGGCCCCTAAGTCAAGTCTGCTTCTTCGCTCTAGACATTTACTACTCGTGTTTAGTAATGACAGGCTTGCTTGCTATGAAGTTGCTTCCCGCTCCAGTCAAAGGTACATTTAACACATTTGAAAATTCTTTTGATGAACAGACTGTACTGCTAGTAAGCCTGAACGGTGCCTTTTTTGAAGAGTTTCTGGTCCAGCAGCATTTGCCAGCATAGATTCGGTATTATTAAGCTTGAAAGACTGGTATGTAGCTCCAATACGCATTATTATCAGGATACTGGACTAGGCAATCTCGATTTGACATAATGTATCCAATACTCTTAGCTCAAAACATCTCTTACAGACAAACAACACAAGGAAATGCTCACGCGAGCTGTTTACTAGAACAGTGCTTTAGTAGCGCTAACCGGAGATAATGCCCTGCTTAACGCCGAACTGACGTCTTCATCCATGTACGTCGAACGTCTTCCACACGAACATCAGACCTGCATCAACAATGGCCGAAAACATGCAAATCAACCCACAACGCGCAAAGCAGCTATCCGAAAACATTGCCAGCATAACCGCGCGCATCAATGCTGCGAGTAAAGGCAGCAAACCAGTACGTACCACCCCTTCGCATTCTTCTTTCACACAAGTTAACAAAACGTCCCACCAGGTGCGTCTAATCGCCGTCTCCAAGCTCAAACCCGCCAACGACATCCTCGCCCTCCACCAACCCCCCAACCCCCTCCAAACCCACTTTGGCGAAAACTACGTCCAAGAACTGCTCGAAAAAGCCAAACTCCTGCCCCGCTCCATCCACTGGCACATGATCGGCGGTCTCCAATCAAACAAATGCAAGCACCTCGCCGAGCAAATCCCAAATCTCTGGTGCGTTAGTAGTGTCGACACCGAGAAGAAGGCGAATGAACTCGAAAAGGGACGTAAAGCCCTCTTGGAAAAAGATGGTGAAGCGAGTAAACTGAGGGTTATGGTGCAAGTTAATACATCCGGTGAAGATAGTAAATCAGGTGTTGAGCCAAAGGATGCGCTCGCGCTGTGCAGACATGTGGTGGAAAAGTGTCCGCACTTGCAACTAGCGGGGTTCATGACGATTGGTGCGATTGCGCGGAGTAAGGCTATGACGGAGGAGAATGAGAACGAGGATTTTGTGGCACTGAGGGAGACGAGGGATAGGGTTGCTGAGGCACTGGGGTGGGACAAGGAAAAGTTGGAGCTGAGTATGGGGATGAGTGCGGATTTTGAGGGCGCCATTCGAATGGGGAGTGATGAGGTGAGGGTGGGGAGTGAGATTTTTGGCGAAAGGCCGCCGAAGAAGGATGCCGTTGTTAAGGAGGAGGTTGCGGGGGAGAA